TTGGCTCCGCTGGGCCCCGCCGCCACGTGACGCCGCGGTCATGTGAAAATAGTGACATCACACCCCCTCATCTCCCTCCATACCGCTAGGGGCGCCGGGCGTGCCCCACGGAGCAAGGGCACAGGCCGCCGAGACTCAGCGCTTCCCGGGGGCTGTACAACCCCCCCCAGACCCCCAGCAGAGCCCGGGCACAGCGCTGCCTCTGCTCCCTCCAAGGGACCCTCCCGGGAAGCTGGGGGCGGTGGGAGGAGGGCGCCCTGGCGTCATCTCCCCTGCTCTGGCAGCTGGCCTTGCAAGGGCATGTTTCCCCCCCGCCCCACCCCGGCTCCTGGGAGCGGTCTCAGGGGGTCCTCGGGTTCCCCTGGCCATCACCGGGTCCTGCCCAGTGAGGGACCGACCAGCAGCCCCAGCAGGCCGGTGAGCGGCTCGCCGCGCCCTCTGCTGGCCGCCGTGCGAACTGCACAGGTGCGGGGCCCTGCCTGACACCCAACAGCGCCTCACTCAGGCCACGTCCCCCCGTCCCGGGGTTCCCTGCCCGGCCCTCGGGGGCCAGCCCGTGGTTGCGGAGCCGCAGGAGGTGGCGCTGCCCGCGCAGCGGTCCCTGGGGGGCCTCCGGCCGGATGCCCGAGATCCGTGGCGCCAGGTGGGTTGGCGGGGGCCGGAGCAGGGCGCGCGACTCCCGGCGGGCGACCCCCAGCGCCCGTCTGCCCGCGCGGGGCGGACCACAGCCCCCGGCGCCCATCGAGGCGCACACCGAGGCCACGTGACCGTCTTTCCTGGGGGCCGCGGCGGGCGGGCGGCGGGGAGCGCAGGGCGCGCGAGTCCTGGGCCGCGGGCGCGGACCCCCGGCGCGGGGGTCTCAGTCCTGAGGCATCTGTCCGCGGGGCTCTGGCGGCGGGGACGGGGGCGGCAGGACTGGATGGCGGCCTGGGATCCTGGCCCCTCGGGCGGGGCGGGCGGGGGCCCCTGGCGTGCGGCTTTGGGTCTGGGTCCAGCGGTGGCGTTGGGCTCAGGCTTCGGGCTCCTCATCTCCCTCGTGGGGGGGGGGGGCACCCTGCCCAGCGTGGTCTAGGAGATGGGGGTCAGCGGCGGCCCGGGCACCCTGCACTTGCCGGCAGGGGGCTGTCCCCGCTGCAGCGCCCCCGCCCCAGACTCACCACGCACCCCCTCGCCTGCTAGGGGGCGCCCTCCACTCCAGGTGGGAAAACCCCCAGCCCACTGAGCCTCCTAGGACCCGCTGGCCAAGGACTGCTGGTCACAGGCCCTGAGGGTCCTCATGGCCCCTGGGGCCTCGACTTCCCTTCCTGTACCAGAAATCAACCTAGAGAGAGGCCAGTGCACAACTGCCCTAGAACTGATGCTCAACGGTTCCCAGGACTATTGCGGGGGGAGGGGTCCAGGCTTTGATGCTTGCAGAAGTTTAGTGAAATTTTACTGACTGTGAGGGAGAAAAAGTTTCCTGTGTGTACATGCCAGAACCAGCGTATCATTGTGTCCATTTGAATTTAAAGAAACAAGTTAATACCTTTGCGAGATGGAGAACAGAAAGAAAAAAAAGAACTTGTTGCAGCCCCACCCCACCCCCCAAAAAAGAATTCTTTTAAACACCTAATCCCAGGTTGAAGTGCTATTTCTTGAATAAATTATTACCAAGCAATGACAACAATTAAAACACACACAAAAGGACGTCTGTGGGGGAGCACAGGGTGGGGACGGACATTCAGTCAAGACTGGGCAATGCCACAGCCTGGAAAGGACATGAGAGGGGACAGAAGTGTGGCTCCTGGGATGCATATTGGGAGAGAGACAGAGGTGCGTGTGAAGTGGGGGATCTCATTAAAGTCTGGGGTCCAGGACAGCAGTGGATGTTCGTGTCCTACTCAGTGGTTCGAATCTGTGTGCCTTGGGGATGGAGGGAATGTGCACCCCTGGGAGAAGCCGTGAGGGCCACTGGGTTTTCCCTCCAACCCACCTTGCGGCACTGGGTCATGCATATTTAGATCACATGCTCTGGGCCATAGCACCAGTGATGCGGGCAGGTGACACATTGAATGAGGCGTAACTTACAGCAACAAGCCGAGTCTCTCAGGTCCCCGGGTGAGTGGGTGAACGAAGAGCATGTTCCGAGTGTCAGATGCCTCCGAAAACTGACAGGAGGAATCGGAAACTGAGGCCCACGTTAGAAATGGCAGAATGTATGTCTGGATAGTGAGACCCAAGATATCCGCACACACATTACAGAATTCTCATGGGTTTACGGCAAACGGGAATTCTCACAGAGATGAAAAGAGAAGTGTGTATTTCCCTCAGCGCCTGGCTCACACTTACACTCCAGATCATTAAATAGTAAGCAAAGAATCTGAGACTAACAGAGATCTCCTGAATTCCACACCCAAGGGCTGGAAATACACCGGAAAGGGTGGACTTCTGTGCAGTTAAGCTATTACATGAGCAACACCTCGCTAGGGAATAGGATCTTGTTTAGGTGGAAATAAGAGCGTTTTACTGGAAAGGAAATCTCTGATGCAACCCTGTGGGTCAGGAATCTTGAGGTTCCTATGGCATGTGTTTGGGGCTGGGCTGGGGTCCCCAGCACTGCATGGTCTCTGGAGGCAGGAATGACTGAAGAGCACTGTGTCCCCAAAGCAAAACAAAAACTTATTTGGTAACTGATCCCACCATAAGATTATTTTAAGAGTTCCTTGCTCTAAATCTAACACATACTTAGAAAATCTGATTTTAAATCTTTATTCAAAGTAAAGGGGTTTAAGGAGGATGAGCAGAGTCTTCTGCCCCCGCGCCTGGCTGTCCTCGCCGGGACCCCTTGGAGGGGAGCAGGTTGAGTTTCCCTCCCCACCCCGACCAGGGCTCCGGCAGCCGAAGACCTCCACAACCAGCCACCACCATGCTGAGACCACTCTCCACAGGCATGAAGGTACTGGCAGAGGAACAAAGGCATGCGTGTCCTGGGGCTGAGATCTCCAAGCCTGCTCGGATTGGGGCTGAGCATCCTCCACTCAGATCCTCCATATTCCAGTAGGCAGGGGTTACACCCACCAACTGGCCCCCTTGTGCCCTGTAATCCCATCAACGGCCAAGACCCAGAGACTATAAAACCCAGCTCCCGGAAGCATCTTATTATCTCATTCTTTCTTTGGACAAACTGGCAGGCTACCGAATGTAACCTGCCCTCACGGCAGAGTCTGGCAAACTCCCCGTGGCTTACCCAATATGCCAAATACCAGTAACAATGATGAGGCTCATTCTACTAACGTGGAAAGAGCCTTGAATATGGCACTTTTTAAAAAATTCTCAGGGCTAGGACAAAGGAGACATTACTGGGGCCTGTTCGAGGCAATCGACAAACAACAGGATGGTTGTGACCATGATCATGAGCAGATTCCGATTTTTTTGGGCGGGGAGGGGGTCATAATGAGAGATCTCAGGGGATCCTCCTGGTTGTGCACTCAGGAATTACTCCTGGCAGTGCTTGGGGGACCATATGGGATGCCAAGGATCGAACCCAAGTTGCCCGTGTGCAAGGCAAACGCTCTCCATGCTGGAATGTCGCTCCAGTCCCACATTCCCATTCTTTGGTCAGGACTATCCAACTAGCCTGAGCCATCAGCTCTAAGGCAGGAGGGGAGGGAAGCTTCCTTGGCGCATTCCTGACACAAGCCTGGAACATTGCACAATCACCTGGCAGCCTTTCCTCGAGTGGGCACGTGTGGCGACCCCTACATGGACACGGCCAAACAGACCCTGGCAGCTGCTCCTGCTGACCAGTCCTCACGGCTAATTCCTTTGGTCTCTTCTCAGCTCTGACTTCTACCGTGCAATCCACAAGTGGCTGGAGGACATCGGGCCTCTTTACCGATGCCCGAGTCACAAATACGTGGGCCCCTTTAAAGCCACACGCTTTAGATTTGGTGTCATGAGCAACAGCAGAGGGAGGAGAGCCGGAAGGGAGGTGTCCGGGGCCAGAAACCTTTCCCAAGGGATCACACTATCCAGATTCTTTCCTTACGACTTTCATAAGAAATAAATCTCAGTCATGATGCAAATGCCTTAAAGTGTTACTGGGCAGCCTTTCAAAATGCAAAAAACAAGAACCAATTATTAGAAACTAAAAAAATATATGAAATTTATTATAACATGGATAGAGTTTCTTTAGTCTTTCCATCAAAGACTCACAGATAGAGCAAAGGAAGCAGGAGTGGGAGGAAAAAGAGAGGGTGAGGTGAGCACGGCAGCGCGTGAGCGCAGAGACAGCCAGACATCAGCACCCACAGTGAGCTCAGGACCGCGGAGGCTGCCTCCCGGACCCGCAGAGTTCCTGACCAAAGCCCGCACCTGACATTCTGGTTCTGGTATCTGTCCTTGGCCGTCAGGGAAGTGGGGTACGCTGAACAGGACCACCCTGCCCCCGTCTGCTCTGGGCTTTAGCAGTGGTCGGAGCAGGGCAGGACTGGCCCTGCCTTCCGCAGCTGGACCTGTTTTCTTTTTTTTATTTATTCATTTATTTATTTATTTTTTAAATTTTATTTATTTATTTTTATTGAATCACCATGAGAAACTTACAATCTTTCATGTTTGGGCTACAATCACACAATGATCAAACACCCATCCTTCCACCAGTGCACATTCCCCACCACCAATCTCCCAGGTATACCACCCCCTTCTACACCCTCCCCCTGCCTCCATGGCAGACAACATTCCCCATACTCTCTCTCTACTTTTGGACATTATGGTTTGCAATACAGACACTGAGAGGTCATCATGTTTGTTCCATTATCTACTTTCATCACAAATCTCCCATCCCGACAGATCTGGACCTGTTTTCAACCTGTCTGAAAACCTAACTTGGAGACAAGCTCCCGAAAGAAACGCTGACTTTCACCTTTGGCACACATCGCGTGCAGCTAAGCTGGAGATAACTACAGTCTGGGGAAAACCCGCAGCAAACCCAGGGGCTGGGTGAGTGTAGGCGACGTCCTCTCTCAGAGGCAGCAGATCTGCGCCTCCATGTGGGAGTCCAGGATGGCGAGAGCCTCCGCCATCAGGACTGCACGCCAACAAGGCCCTTGGGGGCAGGCAGCGGTTTCTGCATGAACCCAGGGAAACTGGACCTAAACCCTTCTAGGCTTTCAACCTGAGAGCAGAGCAAATTCCTTTTAGCATTTTATGTACCATCACACTCAGACCTACATCTGAATCCTTTACAATCTCTACCTGGCGATGAAGATCCTGAGATTAGCTACAATTGAGTTGTCTTCAGATTTCTGAATCAGACACAGCTTGCCATGATTAACAAGAAGAAACAGTTCAATATTTGTTTTAAAATTTTTTAATAGTTTTAAATTTTTTTATTCCCACAAAAAAAAAAATAAAGTCATCATTTGTTCCTTAGATTCACTGAAAGTTTTTTTCCTTCGGGGTGGATGGGTGCACACCTGGCCATGTTCAGGGTTTACCATGGCTCTGGGCTCAGGGTACCACATGGGGTGCCAGGGATTGAACCCAGCTCCGCTGTGTACAAGACAAGATAGTACCAGTTCTACGACTTCCCCGGCCCCTGAAAGAGTGACTTTCCATGGATGGCTGCATAAACATTCCTGGGACATAGGGGGAGAAGGGGAACAGAGGTGATGAGACAGCAGAGGGAAATGGACAAGTGGTTAAATGGGTCATTTATATTTTAAAATTTATTTGTGTATTGATTTTTGCCGGGGGTCACGCCCGGCGATGCACAGGGTTACTCCTGGCTCTGCACTCAGGAATTACTCCTGGTGTTGCTCAGGAGACCATATGGGATGCTGGGAATCGAACCCGGGTCGGCCGCGTGCAAGGCCCTACCCTGCTGTGCTACTGCTCCAGCACTAAGTTGTATGCCAAGACGAGTGTTTTAAAAAACAAAACCAAAATGAAACAAAAAACTGCTTCCCGTTCTGACGGATGGTTCCTCCTCAAGCCAGGGGCGCCAGCCTTGATTCTGGGGGGCTGTGCGTTGTGGGGAGCGCGGGGGAGGATGGGACTCTGGTGTCTGTGTGCCCCCAACTTGGGAGTTGTCTCCTGCAAATAGCACCAGGGATGAACCGACCATTTGGGACCAGCTGTGGGGAGCTGGGAGGATGAGCGGATGGAAGGACCTGAGATGGGAGGCAACCGTGGACGCGCAGCAGACCCCGACAATCGCCACTCAAGAGTACAGAGGAGGGGGCCTCCCCGCAACCAGAACAGACGATGGGGGTGGGGTGGGGGGGTGCGCTGTGTCACAGGGAATTACAGCACAGTAGATTTCATGGGAAACGCATTTCCCTTCCTTGTGTCCTCCATCTTCGGCAGCCTGGCAGTGGGCTGGCCTTGGGGATACTCCTGGCTCCTTGCTGGGGGCTGGGTGGAGGGAGGGAACTCTGCCTCCTGCAAAGCCTGTGCTCCCTGTGGCCCCAGACTTCAGAGCAATGCTCAGATATGCTTAGGCCCATCTGCCTTTTTCTTTTCTTTTGTTTTGGGGCCACACCTGGTGATGTGAGGGGCTTCCTCCTGGCGATGCGCTCAAGGATCACTCCTGGTGGGGGAGGGTCCACTTGGGATGCTGGGGATCAGGGATCGACCCTGGGTTGGCCTCAAACAAGGCAAGTTCCCTGCCCGCTGTGCTCTCCTGCACTTCCCCTATTTGTCCTTTTCATTCTGACTTTCGTTTGCATTTCTGCAGGAAGTTCAAATTCTGGGCCTATCTGCCCCACCTCAGTTCAAGATTTTTTCCATCCTGTTGAAGTATGTCTTTTTCTCCTGATACTCTGGTTGAAGTTTTTGTTCTCCTTAGTCATAACAGTACATGCAGAAAACGAATCTGTAACAAGATAGTTCTTTTTTGTGGCACATTTGGCGGTGTTCGGGGCTTACCCCTGGCTCTGTGCTCAGAGAACACTCCTGGCGGTGCTCGGGGGACCATACAGAGTGCAGGAATTAAGCAGCACATGGGCTCCTTTTTTCAAGGTGGCCTTTATAGGGTTTCTCCAACCTGCCCCCACGTAGGGCTTCTTCCCAAGTAAAAATCCGTTGCTAAGGAGGTTACCAGGGAGGTCCAAAAAGAGGAATTTCATGGGGAGGAGGCCTTTATCCTCAGGGTCTGCGGATGGTCTTATCGGGCCTTTGCTTTCTGTATCCACAAGGTGGGTCATTCCTAGAATTCTTCTTCCATGAAACTTTGTTTCATTGCAAAGGGCCTTTCCCCATCTACCTGCCTACATCACAACCATTATTGCCATACTGGTCCCTACTTTGTCCTAAGCATCCTCTGTCACCTACACGTGTGGTTTTCTCCAATCATTGACAAGGCCTCCTGGCCTCCATTTTTCTAGCCTTGGATATCAATCTCGTGTGTGTGTGTGTGTGTGTGTGTGTGTGTGTGTGTGTGTGTGTGTATTATGGGCTGGAGCCATAGCACAGCGGGTAGGGCGTTTGCCTTGCACGCAGCCAACATGGCCGACCCGAGTTCGATTCCTCCGCCCCTCTCGGAGAGCCTGGCAAGCTACCGAGAGTATCTCGCCCGCAAGGCAAAGCCTGGCAAGCTACCCTTGACATATTCAATATGCCAAACACAGTAACAACAAGTCTCACGATGGAGACGTTACTGGACCCGCTCAAGCAAATCAATGAACAACGGGAGGACTGTGACCATATATATCATATTCCACAATATGGGTGCTTACTTATATTTGTGAAGGGACTTGGGAATCATATCCAGCAGTGCTGAGGCTCCTCTGGGCTCTGCTCAGGCATCACTCCTGGAGGGGATACTGGGGACCCTATGAAGTGCCAGGGAAAAGAATCTGGGTTTGCTGCTTGCTAGGCATCAGCCTTGCCCCAGGGCTCTCTCTCCAATCTACAGTTTACTTACTTACAACGTAGTATTACAGAATACTCACAGTACGATGTAATAATATTTGGATATCCTGCAAAGTAACCATGGTTCATGTATAGACCGTTTGAATTCCCTACCATAGATTCTAAGGTCAAGGACTGCTATTGGGTATTATGAAGGCTGACAGTAACAGTCCTACTCAAGTTCTTTTTCCAGAAATCTCAACGTGAGGACATGTGCTTCAAACGTACAGGAGTTGGTGCTTATAAGCATATTTGGTTCTGTTCATTTTGGGTTAATAATATAGCAATGTCCAGTTCTTTCCCAGACTTTATGGATTGATGGTGTTTGTACTGCTTGGTGTCCCTTCATTTTTGTCTTGTGAAGAATCACTGAAGGCATTCATTTTAAGGTACATTGACTAGGAAGCTTTGCAATAATGCAAGAAAGGTTTTGTTTGTTTTGGGGTTTTTTTTTTTTGCTTTTAAACCTCACCCAGTGGTTTTCTTTTCATTTTTTATAATTTTATTGATTGAATCACCATGAGAGCAGTTACAAAACTTTCGCGTTTAAGTCTTGGTCATAAAATGAAACACCCGTACTTTCATCAGGTCCCATTCTCCACCACCAAAAACCCCAGTATAGACCCATCCCACACCCTCCCCCTACCTGTAGAGGAGATAATTTCCATATTACTCTCTCTGCTTTGATTACATTCAATATATTGACACCGGACCCACCATTATTATTTGGTGCTCAGATCTGCTGTAAAGGCAAGAGTAGACAATTTGTTTTCTACTCCTGGTTATGAATAACATATGACATCGCATGGCTGCTGTAGTGGCTGCGCGATTTTGAAATTCCACAATTTTAACCATTAAATCTGGAGGAATTTCTTGCCAAAACCTGCTGGGTTCCAAGATGAAATCAGCAGCCAGAGAGGCCGTTTGTGGGTGACGACTTGGGGTCTCGTTGGGGAGGAAAGGGCCAGCTCCACCCACATCCCGTGAGGCCCTACGTGTCTCGTCACTGTGAGCCCAAACCTGACTGTCCAGTGGCCTATGGAGGATGGCGGCCAGCGGGCTGCCAGGGGGAACGGGCCAAGGCACGAAATCTATTCCCACCTGGGGTGGCCCAGTGCCTGTAACTTACTTCAGGGACTGGACACATTTCTGCCCAAAGCTGTTGGGTTTCGAGATTTGTTTCTGAGTCTCTGGGATCATGGCCGTTAAGCAGTTCAATCAGGAACCAGAGAGGCCATGCCTCCAATTATATAGCTGGACTGGAGGTGGTTTGTGTCTGTGTCTCCCACATACCTAACTTTTGCCTGTTTACTTTCTTGGTAAACTCTGCCCCACGTTTTTGGGGTCTGGCCCAAGGCACAGCAGCAAATAGGGGGTACCTGGAAGTCTGAAGGCGCCATCAGACTGCTGATGCACTCACCTCACAGGTACAGAGAGACCTGCTGGTGGCACCATACCCCCAACCCAGTGCTTCTTACGGTTTACTCCTGCCTCTGCACTTAGCGATTGCTCCTGCCGGGGCACAGATGACTGGATGGGATTCCTGCGATTCAACCCAGATCAGCCACATGCAAGATAAGAAACCTACTCACTGTACTACCTCTTTATCCCAAGATAAACACTTTTAAGAAAATGGCATACAGGCACAGAGCAATAGTTCAGCTGGTAGGGCATGTGCTTTGGCCAATCTGGCTTCAATCCCTGACGTTTCGTATAGTCTGCCCAAGCACTGTCAGGAGTGATTCCTGAGTACAGAGCCATGAATAAGCGCTAAGACATCACCAGGTGTGGCACAAACATAAAGAAACTAAAAGAAATTGGTGTATCAGAATTCCGTTGTAGAAACTCTTTGACTTCTTTGACTCTATAGTTCTTGATTGCTAGCCAAAAATCTTTTATAAATAAACCGGAGAATAATCAGTTATCACTGGCAAAAAGGAAATAATTTTATTCAAGTAGATAAAGAACATTGTTTGCTCAAATTTTAATACTGCTTTACATAGTTTGTGAAACAATTTCAATCGTGTTTATTACTCAAAATGTCAATGGATTACGATCTTTCACTGGTGAGACACTTGATAATCTCCAGAGGAAAATACATCAAAAGCATATATACAATTATAGAAGTTCTTATAATCCATGTAGCCCTGATGGTACATTATTTATCACGTTTTA